CCATGTGGTTTATTTCAGCTTTTTAAAAAGTTATCTGAAAACAAAAATGGTCAAGTTTGACTGAGGTGTGGGGGAACAGCTGAGTTAATTTTTTGTGTAGCAAAGTTTTACAAGCTTTCCTTGATTCTGGGTGCCCACAGGTGCAGAAGAAGAGAAGACTCTGTTTAACCTCTCTCCCTTTCAAGAATTCAGGATGCAGGATCCACCCTTGCTTTAACAATACAAGGTATTTATTAACCATGTTTAAGGCTGAAGACGACAGAATGCTTCCTTTTTGCTCTATTACTTTCTCTTTTTTCCACCCACTTCTTCAGGGACAGGGACTAACCTTCTCAGCAACACCAAGGATGTTATTCGCTCCTTCCCTGTTGATAAGTCAGCACGAAACCACTGGATCACTCGTGGATCTCCCTTCCTCATTAGAAAGGCTTAGTTCCTATTACTGAAGCGGTCCATGCTTGTTTCAGACACTGATCTGCATTACTACGCAAACAGTGCTGAGGGTCTCTTACCAATCATGTTAGACAAACATCGCCTGTACGAGCTTCTACCCTGAAAGCAGGCCTTGATTTTTTCCACCAGCTTCCTTCTCCAAATTTCAGCACACTTCTCACTTTTTGCAGTGAGGTGGCTGAGATGAATCGGTGAGATCTGTCCTAAGAAAACGGAGCACTTCAGAAGAGTACAAACAAATTAAATTCCAGCAGTAAATTGGTGCCAAAGACCATTACTCAGAGTCCTCACAGTACAACTGCAGATGTGACACTTTGTGGCCACCAGCGAGTTCCTGCCCCCAGCCAACAGAAAGCTCCCACGGGATGTGGCCATCCGACAGCTCCCGTAAGCCACTGTCCGCTGCGGCTCCTGCGGACAGTGCCCAGCCCACCCTGTGTGCTGAAGACGCCCCACCGCTGCCAGTTTTGCCTTCTGGAAGGGTGTTCAGATGGATGTTGTTTAAAACAAATACACATACAGCCAGCTGTGCTGGGTCAGAGCAAGGGTCCATCTGCCCAGCAGCCTATTTCTTACAGTGGCCCATAGCAGACGCCTAGGAAAGAGTAGAAGAACAGGGCAAGCGTATAATGCATGAAATGCCCACCACACGACATAGTCCCAGGACTTAACTTCAACCTAAAGTGAGTTAGTATATTAGCTAAAAATTCGTTTTCCCAAATAATTGCTACAACACTTTTGAAGTTTCCTGCCCCACCCCGTAGATAGCCAGCAGACATCAAGGCAACTGTTGATCCCTGTGGTTTTCCTGTCATTTCATACCATTTTATATACTCAGGCATCCTGATTAAAAAAGAAATTATAGTCCTTTTGTTGGCTTGGCAGCCCGCCCCCCCAAAAAACTATAAAATTTTACTATATCTGATGAGAAGACTTATTTAGAAGGATTCTAGTGCAGTACAGCCTGAAAAGCTACTGAATATCTCGCTCCAGGTTTACACGGTCGTAGTCCCTACCCGTTTGTTAAGGGATTAGCGTTCAACAGCTATAGTTGCACAAGCCACAGAGCTAAGAACTGTGTGCAGCCACACACCACAAATATCAGATTATTCCAGACAGAGCAAACAAGGAGGCGGCATCTCGGACTTCTAAGGATATTTATCGAGTGCTCACTGTAGAGAGCAGCCCCTGCATTTGAGCTCTGGCAAGAAAATACCCAAATTATAGTACAAGCCAAGGAACCTGAAATACAGTATACTTGGTAATGTAGCTCCATTGTAATTGGATATAATAAGTTTTATTTCTTGCTTTAAATGAATGAACAATATGCGGACTGCAACTGCAAAGCTACCTGGCCTCAAGAAAACAGGAGTTACTCTCAAATCACTTGATAGCAAGGATGTGTGCTCCCTTCAGCACGACCTCCTTTTCCAGCTTGGAAAAACATGGGAGACAGAAGGATGGAAGCATGGGGGGGAAGGGGGCACTTAACACCTCGATAAATCAACATGACTCTTACACTGGAGAAACTGAAAAGGGAGCTTAAAAACAATTCTCCTAAATCGTTTTGCATTGCACAGCTCCTTTACAAACTTCATAGGCAGACTGAAGAGCAGAGAGACAGAACAACGGACAGTTGAGGCTGGAGGGCAGCTCTGGAGGTCGGCTCGGAGCAGGGTCAGCCACAGCAGGCGGCTCAGGGCCGTGTCCAGATGGCTTCTGAGCATCTCCAAGGATGGAACCTCCACCGCCTCTCTGGGATACCTGATTAACAACCTTAAAGTCTTTTCTTACGTATAAGCAGAATCTCCTGTGTTTCAGCTCGTGGCCGTTGCCTCACGTCCTGTCACTGGGCACCCACTGAGGGGTGAGCCTGGCTCCGTTCTCTTTACACCCTCTTTTCACGTATTTATATATGGAGGTAAGATCCCCTCTCAGTCTCCTCTTCTCCAGGCTGAACAGTCCCCGTTCTCTCAGCCTTTCCTCATAGGAGAGATGCTCCAGTCCCTTCATCATCTTCATGGCCCTTTACAATGGACTTCCTGGACTAACTCCATGTCCTTCTTTTACCGGGAAGCCCAGCACTGGACCCAGCACCCCAGTGCCAAGCAGAAGGGAAGGATCGCCTCCCTCGACCTGCCAGCAACGCTCTCCCTAATGCAGCCCAGGGTACCACGGGCTGCCTCTGCCATGAGGACACAGAGGTGGCTCCTGCTCAACGTGGTGTCCACCAGGACCCACGCCAAGCTGCTTCCCGGAGAGCTGACCCCCAGTCTGTACAGGTGCCCGGGGTTATTCTTCCTTTTACATTTCCTTGTGTTGAACTTCACGAGGCTCCTCTCTGCCCATGCAGCCATCTGGTGTATCAGCCACTCTTTTCCAGTTTTCCACTTTCCAGTCCATGAGGGATGAAGTTGGTATCATATGCAAATTGCTGCGGGTGCAGTCTGCTCCATCATCCAGGTCAACAGTGAAGAAGCCAGACCTCAGGCTCAAGCTAAGAAGACTTGAAGACCTCAACCCAAAACTAAACTTCCAATAAATATCTGGGAGCATCCCCTGCACAGATGTCCTGTCAGAGTTCAGTCTTACCACACTGAAATGCTCAAGTGTGGAAGGGCTGCACTCTGGAATAGTTTTGAGCTAGTTCGTAACACCACTCCTCAAACCAGAACCACTAACACCTAGGTAACATCAGTTAATACGGAGCAGCTCAGAACGGGAACTGAAACAGCCCCAAAAATTGCTCCTAAAGAGGGAGCACTTTAGCCACGCTTCAATTTTTTTTGCCAAGGTACTCTTGCTCTCAAAGGGTGTCACAGTAGTTTTAAAACCCTGTCTCTCCTAGGGCCATTATTTGCTTTTCTGCTGAGTTACTGAAACTCATTAAAGAAAACAGACTATTCGCTTTATGCCTGATAGTGTCTTTGACAAATTTCTGCAGCCTAAAGGTAACCAATAACCGCAGAGTCCTCAAATACCGGCACTGAGTAACGCAGACGCTTCCACAAATACCCAATTACCAGTAGCTAATCTGCCAAAGACAACCTGGTTTGAAGCTTCAGGAACTTAGTGGAAACACCTTAATTCACACCACTCTAAACGTACGACTACAAAGGTGGACAGATACAAGTTCTGACCTAGTGGGCACAAGGTCCCCAAGAAGAATGAGGACAGCTGCTAGTAATCCCAGATCAGATTTCCTCCTGTCCGGGAAATCCTAAATTTAGGAAAGGGAGTAAGCATGCAGCTTTTATTTTGATCCCTCCCAAAACGCAACATTTGTATGGATAAACACTTTATACTGAAGCAGTTGTCTTGCATTCCTGCATTTACCCCCAGGCAACAGCACCTGGAAGATAACCGGAAACAGGAGCCTAATACCACTGGCAGCTCTGAGAGGCGATTAGCAGTGAGAGCGCTGCCGCACGGCGACTCAGGGCTCACGGTGGGACTCTGTTTTGGCTAACGCAGGCCTGACATGTGAAAGCAGCATCCAGCAAAGCCGAAGTCAAAAGATAGAGCCGTTACTTGCAATCATATCAACAAAGATAAATAGAACATAGAATCCACTTGCTTGGACCTTGTAGAAGCTTCGTATTTCTACAGAACAAGAGATCTGAAAATCAAACTGTTCTCATTGACAGTTACAAGACTTCATATGAAGCAGTGCAAAATCAGGAAAGCAACAGCTCGATTGCTGCTCACAACCTGCACGAGTCATAGGCATGAGAAGTGATCCCGCAGGTTTTCAATACATGAAAATAATCACTTCGATAATCTTTTAACAGTAGATGTGAAAGAAGTCTGTCTTAGCGATGCTCCAAGAAAGATTTATGTCTGTGTCTATATCAACACAGGTGGAGCTTTTCTAAAAGCAGAGGAGTAGAGTACATCATCACACAGGGTTTATTTTGACCAAAAGAGACAAGATACTTAGAATTAAAACCCTGACAAGAGAATCTGTCTGTGCACAAACCTGAGCACAAAAGTTTTCCCAACTCCAGTAGTAATAATGCCTCCCTGGAAATTATTAAGAGGCCCATGTAACATTTCTGATCATGAAAATACATTCAGCTGCAACTCGTATCCAAATGAGAGTCCATAAGGACAGCAGGGAATTTAAAAGAACAAACATCAAATGCATGCCAAGGCAAGGGCTGAAACGGGGAGTACAAGCTTCAGGGAGAACAGAATAGGCAAGTATGGAGAGAAAGATCAGCTTTCCTTCTCCCCATTTTTACTTCATGGTTTTGGAGTCCACCACCAGGTGTCTGGGGATTACTTTCATCTTATTTATTGCTTTACTTCACTTATTCAATTAGTTTTTACTATTTACTTATTAAACCACATGAAGATACTTCATCCCTGTCTTTTCTTTTGTCCCACAAGAAGAAATGACAAAAATCTATTACATTTAAAAAAAAAAAAAAAGAGCTTCTGGGATAGCCCACAAGACAGGGAAACCTGAACACGTTCAGGGCGTTGCTATGAAAACCCCACAAAGCAGCAGCACCCTGTGACACCAAGTACTTTGCGTGACTTACCAGCAGGCCAGAATACAGAGTCCAGTAAAGAGGATGATGGGAATGGGGTAGGAAGCACACAGCAGCCCGTGGTTGTAGAACGCCCGCGATATCCTCTCGCGCAGTTTTTCAGTCAGGGTCATCCTCAACTGTCGTCAACTAGTTGCCATCCCGGAATACGTCAGGGGGTCGGGCAATGCCAGCATGTGCAACGCTTCAGCAAAGGCACTGTATCCAGCTAGAAATTGAAAAGAAAGCAAGCTCGTGAGCAAAATAAGTAAATAAAAGGCAAATAAACAACACCGACTTGTGTTAGAAAGACTTCCAGCATTGTACCTCCTCAGAAGAGAAGAGAGAAAAAGACACCGCACACCGGGTGCTTGTTATGAGCCCACGGGCAATTTGATCAAATGATGCGTTTTTGCCTAGGGGCAGGAAGGGCAGAAAACGTAAGGAGAGAGCGAACGCCAGCCGAAGAGACGTCAGGCACCGCTGCCGCTAGCTGCTGGTCAGAGAGGACAGGCGGGAACGGAGCTAGGAACCAAACCGTCTGAAAGGAAGGAAGAAAAGGAGCTTAGCAGTAAAAGAATTAAGTAATTCGAGGAGATGCCAAAATGCCAATTAGAAAAGAAGGATTGAGGCTAGCTCTCAGCAATGTGCTCTTAAGGGAAGTGCTCTTGGACACCGACTGAAGCGCTTTCAGTGCTTTCACTATTCGCAACACACCAGCAACAAGAGGAGAGACCAGAACAGGCTTTCCAGCTAAGACAACCTAAAGAAAGTTATTTTTGCGTGGGGAATGAGGGAGGGAAGCATAAGTAGCCACAGTTCAGCAGACTAAGCCAGAGTACACCACACAGTAAAATACACTAATGTGGATACTTCTCATCAAAATGTATTTTGACTTGACCGTAAGACTTACGACTAGGCTGTTTACCAAGCGCAAACTGAACTGCAGATGTCAGAACCGGTCCACTTAAATTTGCAATTTGATTTACAAAGTATAAAAAATTCAATATAAAAAGCCCTAAGAAAAGGTTAAGATAATACATTAAAATAAAGCACAAATGAAACTTCTAGGAAAGATGGAGCAGAAGAAACCTACCCTCTAGCTTTTTTTTTTTTAAATCTCAGGCTAAATGCAAAGCATGTGGTGCACAACGATGTTCTGAGAAGTGAAAGGCTTGAATGCAAGACAGATTTTTTTTTTTGTACAGTTCAAAGCTATGATTATCCAAGATTTTTATATTTTTATCTGGGAGGAAATAAATACATTTTTCCTGGCTTCTCCAGAATAAGACTGGGACAAGAAGAGCCCCAAAGCATGTGAAATAAGTCATTTTGTCCACAGGAAAACGCCATTAAAGATTGCGCCAGAGAATTCAATATAAGCCCTAAACCCCAGCAAGCCCATTAAAACCAGCTCGCCAGCTGGTCCCCGGAACAACTCACCTTCACCATCTTAAATGCAAAGACTACTAGAGGAGAAGGTCTGATAGGTTCACACAGGTAAGAAATCCAGCAAGGGTTTTTATACGTATCTGGCGTAGGAATTCTGCAAGCCTCCAATATTTAGAGGCTGGGGGAGGTATCACAGGTGCTGTTTTGTTTTATATTCTTCCCTAAGCATCCACTTTCAGCTATGTGGGAGAGGGCATACAGAGGAAGACAAACCCTAAGTACAGCCATTATGCTTTTAATTTCAGATGAAATCCTATTTAATGCCCACAGGACTATTTTACAATAATCTACCTATTTTCCCCCCCAGTAATGCAACTAAAAACAATCAGATTTTGAGCAACAGAAGCACCAGTATATTAGCCTAATGACCAAACGGAAAACCTGGATAAATATTTTTGCTCATACCTTTTAGCAAGGCACTACATCTTTCCCAGCACCAGTATATTAGCCTAATGACCAAACGGAAAACCTGGATAAATATTTTTGCTCATACCTTTTAGCAAGGCACTACATCTGTCCCTAAGAATCAATATCACTGTCTTAGTGGTAAGCAATTTCAGTTTGCCTGCAGTCCAGCACCAGCACGAACGTCCCAGGATCCGGGGCGACGGATGCCTGGAGACCTTGCAAGGCAAGGGGCAAGGCTGACAAGCTAGCCAAAACGCTCTGCGTGGCAGTCGGGCAGAACAGAAAGGTTTTGTCTTCTAGTCACACAGAACACCTGAAATATCACACCCCGCACAGGAACAGACACATGGTGTATACAAATATGCTTAGAAGTTGTAGCTATCACATTGGAAGAGCTCAATTTTTAACCTTTAGTTTGTTTTGGTCCAGTGGCTAATATGACCTGTTCTAATCAAGCCCAAGGCAAGTGTAAAAAGAGACAATTAAAAAACATTTTAAAGGTGCACTGAAATCACCAGAAATGCAGACTTTCTATGCTAGGTCTCAGGAAAGAGTAGAAAAATGAACAAATTTTAATTTCAAATTCCAATGACAAAGCCATCTTCCAGAGCTGTTCATAGAGTGGGAAATAATGCAGAAAATCCCCGCGTACACAAGCCTACTACTCACACCAGACGACTGAAAATAATAATCAAAAAATACCTTTTGAATATATGGCAGTAACGGAACTGAAAATCCAGTCTGTGTTACCAGAATTGGAAAGGAAGCTGCAAACAAATATATTGGAACTGAAACATTCAGGGCTTCATCCCACCGGTGATTTTTCTCAGCATGAATATTGCTAAAGCTAGAAAGCATTATGTTGGGGCTTACAGGCAGATCGTATCCCTACTCTAAGGGGAGAAGGCAAAAAGCAAATATTAAATAATCCTTAAAAGCAAAGCCAACGCCAAGCGCGCTGCAAAACCTCTGGTTTTCAGCACTCGGACTCCATGGCTGTCCCATGGCCACAGAAGGTCTGATCCCTTGTGACGGGACGCAAACTAACCTGACTGCCCAGCCTAAGCAAGCAGAGAGGGGAAAAAATGAATATGCTTCCTATCAGCCCCATTTACATTAGTAATAACGTTTATGCATGCTGCAAGTGCAAGAACTGGAATTGTGAGAAAAGCTTCAAGCACTAGAAGGCAGTCGGACTAGATGATCGTTGTGGGTCCCTTCTGACTGAAATACTCTGTTCTATTCTAACTGGCCACAGGAGGAGGAGGGAGGGGGCAAAGAAAACCCTCCTTTACCTTAAAGTGCAAATAAAGTGCCATTTCTGATGTCCGCAGGTCTCTAGAGCGACAGCTCCCCGCTGTAACCAACCAGTGACTGAGGCAGCCACAAAAACTTGGGTGTTGCGGTCTGGAAAGCAATGACGGAGATCTGATCTTCCTGTAGGGCTGGGTGGCAGGACCGGACCACCCCTTCCGATCCCTGTTCCGTGAGCAACTCGGGAACAACACGTGTGTTCTGCTTCTGCGGCAGAAATACGCCACGACCTCACCTTCTAACAGCAATTTTGGTTATTAGCACTGTGCTGGGAGCCATTCCTACTAATTGCAAAGAGGAAAACTGGTATTTACTTGCTTCACCTGACGTGAAGCATCAGCATTAAGAAAACATTAAGCATTCCAAAGCTAATATTTGCTTATTAGTTTTTGGGGGGTTGCATATTAAATTCTGAAATCTTTATTAACTTCATGCTACAACAGCGCTCATAAAAGTTAAAAGCAGGAGCCATTCCTATTCAAAGTCATTTTTGCAAGCAAAGATTAGCTCACTCAAAATAAACCCTCTGATTTTAGGACAAATGTTAAAGGAGAATCCATTCAGAGTGTTTCTTTCCTTTTGCATGACTGCAAATACAAGACAAAGTTTGACTGGAAACAAGCAGCCATCAGGACATTTCCTTAAGCTTGCAACACAATACGTTGCGTTCCTGGTTCACTTCAGGTACGAGCGACAGACACGCCATGAAGTTCAGAGAGAGATCATGGGAAACAAAAGCAAACGGCAGGCTTGAAAGAGCAAGATTTGGCTTTTAAAAATCTCTTAATTTCCAAACTAAGTTACACATTAAGCAATTGCTTAGACTCTCTAGTCATTCCTTCCACTTACAGAAGCGTAAAACATTATGATTGCCAGGATCGCACAAATTCAGCCATACAGGGGTGTGATTTCAGTTCAGGTGCTTTCCCACACACACACATCCAATTCCAACGTTTCGCGTGGCTACAGCACTTCCCATGGTCACTGTTCCCGCTGGCGGGATGGGGGAGCGCAGGTCCGGGAAGGGCACCCTGCACCGAGGTTACTCATCCATGCCTCGAGAAACAGATTTGTCAGTGCAACCTTGACAAACGTTTCATATGAGACGCAACACAACGCTAAGGCCACAAATTTGTCACAAACTGGAAATTCAGTGCTGCAGACAGAAAACAGAATTCAGATTATAACAAATTCGCAATACCTGGATAGTTACAGAGGAGTGAATTAACGTACCTTGTAAACAGACTCTTTTCCCCCGTTCTTGTGTTACACAGAGGAGAAAAAGCAATCGCTGAAACAATCCGATTGCCGTAGTGCAATCGGTAATTTGCTGCGAAGCACAGCAGATGACACTGTACAAGGGACTAAGCGCACCCCGCAATCAGGGTGCTGCCGACACGCACAGACCACAGCTGAGGCATGCACGCGTACCACAGCTCGGCTGGTGACAAGGTCCCGAACCAGATCCTGAAAATCTTGCTAGCCTGCGACGAGTTGATGGAGTAGCATGAGCCAGGTGAAGGCGAGACGCCGGAGCCGGCGTCCTCCGCTGCCAGCCAGCGTCCCTCGCTCTCCAGCCCACGGGAGCTGTTCTGCTGACTCCTCCGGGCAGGGTTTTCAGACAGCCTGGCTGTTACGCCACGCAGGACAGAAAATCACAGAGCTTCTCAGCTGGAACACTGTTTTCCTCTGAAGCCCCTTCCCTCACCCACAGACAGGAAGGGAAATATGACTAAAAACTGAAGTTTTCCCTCACACCGCGTTACAAACCACACCTTTGTACTTTTTTGGGTGTACTACGTCCTCTGCCACACACAGACTTACAAATGAGGTTCTCAAGTAGCCAAAAACTCTTCTCATACATATTACTGCAACGCCAAAAGACAGGCTTCTACCATCTCATCAGGAGAAAGCGCAATCATTTATTTGCTATTCATTCACAACGCAAGACGGGCAGAGA